CCGAGGGCACATTGGGGATATAACAAATTCAATAACGTAACTTCCACACTCCGTCTAACAGGGGTTAAAACTGGTTGGACCCGCACCTCCAGGCTTACCTATGCTGATATAATCTTCCCATTTCCTTAAAGCTAGAAAATCCCACATACTTAACTATTTGTGAACAGTAATCTAATCTAGGTCTATCTCTATTCCTCGTAACTCCTGTTTCTGCTTTTAATATATTTCTAACGAGTCCTCCATGCCTCCAGGAGATGTACCTATCTCGTCTATTTCTTATTGACTTCCATAGCGACCTCTGTTCTCCTACTCTTTCTAATACCCCTCATTTCTAACCTTCTCTATCCATGGTATCCCCATCATTCGCCTGTAACATCACATTCCGAAACCTTTTATTTTTACAGAAAATTATCAATNGATATAACAAATTCAATAACGTAACTTCCACACTCCGTCTAACAGGGGTTAAAATTGGTTGGACCCGCACCTCCACGTTTTTCTATGCTGAGGTTATCTTCGCATTTCCTTAAACCTAGAAAATCCCACATCCTTAACTATACAGTAATCTAATCTAAGTCTATCTCTATTCTTCGTAACTCTTGTTTCTGCTTTTAATATATTTCTAACGAGTCCTCCATGCCTCCAGGAGATGTACTACCAACCTATCTAGCCTATTTCTTATTGACTTCCACAGTGACCTCTGTTCTCCTACTCTTTCTAATACCCCCTCATTTCTAACCTTCTCTATCCATGGTATCCCCATCATTCGCTTGTAACATCACATTCCGAAACCTTTTATTTTTACAGAAAATTATCAATTACCTGAAAGAGCTACGAAACCTACATATAATTTACAAACCATCAAGTCATTTTATAAATTATCGAATGTGTAAAAAGTACGAACTATATTACAGAGTAACTAATATTAGTTACTTAATTAGTTTGGAAAAAGTGCAAGGCTAAGGAGGAGCAAATGGGATAGTTGCCTCATCTTTCTTTCTAATCTTATAAAATATCTGTTCACTGCAGGCACGTATTTAGCCCATTCCTAATGTGAGATTCACATTGATAATGCTCGCAAACTCAAAGATAACTTTTTGATAAAACAAAAATAGAGCTAATAAGGCAAAGAATGTTTTTACCTAAAGTGGGTTCCATTTTCCTAAGCTTTCTCGAATAGATAATCTAAAAAAAGAAATTCACCCTAGTTACTACTGCGATCACGTGTTTAACCTACTCCTAGTAATATAACTCTCGCATTGATAATGTTCACATTTGAAGTGGGCGAAACACGTGTCCGCAGTGGTAACTAGGGTGAGTATTTTTTTAGTTTATTTATTCGAGAGAACTTGGTCGAATGGAGCCCATTTTAGGTAACATATTCCTTGTCTCATTCGCTCTATTTTTGTATTATCAAAAAGTTATTTCGCGCACTCACATTCCATTTGAACTCTTCATATACATAATTTATTGATGTTGTCAACGAATCTCCGTATCTTTCGAGGGCTTGTTACTGTAGGTATTTTGCATCCAATAACTTTTTTTTTATTACGAACTATTTTAGAAAAGCTGAAACGCAATAACTATTTTGCAAATATTGTATGGTAGTATTGTGTGTATTATACCTTTTTATTTATAGTTATTTTTAAAATGTTGGAACTTATTGCGAGGTAGCTGTCCCTTACGTAAATGAAAATTACATATACCTACATCAGTGTTTCTGTCGGAAAATGCTTGAAAAATGTTCCCAATTGGAAACACTCCAAACATTTGTAAATATAAAAGAAATTACAAGGTTAAAGTAACTACGCACACTATACAATGACTTCATTTACACATTTATATGTTTTTTTTGCTATAATCTGAACACTGGTGGGCACAAGGGGCACGAACTCATTTCTAATTTTGAAAAAAGAAAAGAGCACTCTTCTTCGTTAATCTCTTAACATGATAAATAATTATGAAGAATATAATAATTAAAGCAGTAAAGATTAACTGTACCTAATATTAATTATTATAAACAGGCGGATTATGTGTCGACAGCGCCCTAGGCTAGCACCTCGTAGACGTCCCTCTGGCGGTAATATATTTTGCAAAATAATTTTTTGAAGCAGGTACTTTCTTATTTTTTAGTTTAAAAACTTCCGCGCGCGCCCCTTCCAAGCCTTGCACCCTAGGCATGTGCCTAGTTTGCCTTATGGATAATCCGCCACCGATTATGAATTATTTGTATAACATTTTGGATTTTTGGGTCCACTCTACCCTAAATAAACGTATTTCGCAATCGACCCTCCGGTCACAAGGAATGGCATGTATTAAAGTGTTTTCAAGGACAATTGCAATTGTCTTAACACACAAATTAGATTTAGAAATAGGGGGAAACTCACTAATTTAGAAGTTAATTTTTTTTAATTTTATGAAACCATAAATCCCATGTTCAATGGTACCCCTACAGGCAGAGAATATCCTAAATAAAATATAACAACGTTTTTGTCTTGTACAAGTTTGTTTACCTGATTATTGTCCTCCTGCTTTGAAATCCAGTATTTCTAGCAAACAAAATTGAAACTAAAAATCTCTGGAATAATGGGTAAAGGGTATTAAAGTATTATGTAAGCAGACGTAGGGGTGGAGGGGTTCAAGGTTTTTTATTTTTACTGATAAAAGGGTCAGGGGGAGATAAGATACGGTAAGAACTATAAAATAATAAATAATTTGAACTCATATTGTAGGGAATCTTTTAGGTTTATTTGAATGTACGTACAAGTCTCGTGTCTTTATAGGGTGTTTCTAGAATAAGTAACAAGCTGAAGGTGAGAATGCTCTATAAATCAAGAAAATTAAGTATTAGTGGTCAGAAAGTGTACCGTTTTCGAGAAGAACATATTTGAAAGTACGGTGAAGGGTCACTCCGGCCCTGGTAGGATCACGCACGGGAAAAACGACATTGCAACGCCGTATACAATTAGCTGCAGCGTCTAAAGATTATTATGTATAGTAGCGTAGTAGTAAGCTGTTGGTATTTACTTTACTACTTCCACAACCGTCACTGTTTACATTTTTCATCGATGTATTTGCTTAGTTGTTATCGCAATTTCTCTATACGTTGCCAATTCACGCACAGGACCGGCTTCGGATTATAACTTCGTCTGGTTTTCTTACAAACTTGTTTGTTCCTCGTTGCTTTACTCATCATGCGATTCCCTATCGTATTTATAGTTAAAACCCTGTATATCTATTAGTGATTTATTTCACTCAGAAACACACTATAAATGTAGATTTACCTAACTACTTAGTCTTCCAGTTAGCGCTCTCTTCCCATCAGCCCTCTTGTATCGTCTATCCATTTTAATGAGGCTATTGGTCACTTATTAGTATGCATAATCTTCATAAGGTTTTAAGGTCATAAGGTCCGCAAACTGGTTGGATACGCACCTCCGGTTTTTCCTATCTTCAGCCAATCTTTGCATATTTTAAAAATTGCAGCAACTTTCATCTCTATTTGCAGCAATTTAATGTAGATTAGGTTAGGTTTCCTCTTAACTCTTGTTTCTGCTTCTCATTCCTATGTCTAACTAACTTTTCATGTCTTGGAGGATGTCATACCAACATATCTCACTCATCTCTTATTGACTTCCACAGCGACTTCCATTCTCCTACTATTTCTTATACCTCCTCATTTCTAACTTTTTCATTCACGGCATTTTCAAAATCATGCTGTAACACTTCACTTCAAACTCTTCCATCATTTGCTTTTCCACAATGCCCACCGTCCACGTTTCACCACCCATGAGTTATCTGGACTCTCTCGATAGACGAAAATCGGTTGATTTCCATAGTTTTTCGTCTCCTATTGTTACATATATGCTCTAAGCTCTTCCGCTGCTTTTATATGCCTTGCACACCAATGTTTTTGCTGTATTTTATTAATTTTCGTATCATAGGCAGATACTCTCTCATATTTTCATGCCGCTTCCATATCAATAATTGAAGAGTTATTTTCATCTCGATCTCAATAATCAAAATATTACCAAAACTTCTTACGTCATACCATTGGGGGAGTCCATAATTTTCTTATTCTTCGTCATTAAGGGTGTGGGGGATCCAGAATCAGCAAAATTCTACGTACAAAATACTTCAGTGCTCCCATTGGTGATCTTCATGATCAATCTCGAATATGAACAAACCGATTAGACATTTAACTGGAAGTTAAATCTTAAGATGACTTTCATTGAAAAAGAACCATGGAAGTGAGTCAAAAAGAACGTAATATTTAAAGATTATAAATATCTAATAGATCTATATCAGTTATCAGCGTTTCAGGAAACATGAAAGATATTGTCCTGAAGATACAATCTTTCTCGAAGAAGATAAGCGAAGATTAGAAGATTTTTGATGACTCTTTGGAAGCTTAGCGAAATCCAACTGCTTAAAGAAACATTCAAACATCAGAACTGCTTTATAAACTACAAAAAATTGACCTTAATAAAAATCAGTTTATGATTAGATGAAGCGTTGTTGGACTGTATTTTGTTGCCCCGAATATTGCAGTATGCAGTATCTACATTTCTCAAGTTGATATTGCTATATGGATGAAGTATGATCGTCTGTATACATTTCTATCTACAAAAGCACTTTGGAGATACATAACTATAAGGTATACCATCATCAACAAAGAAGAAAGCAAAAAGCATTTATGTAGATTACATAACAACAATAATTACAAATTTGAAGTGTATGCTAAAATACAAGCCTGCGAAACAGAGGAAAAAAGCCCGAAATCATTAACATAATGAAGTCGAACACACACACACACACACACAAAGGATACTTTTGTCTCCAATTTGCCTTAAAACAAGCAACAGAACAAAGAAAACGGCGATTATAGGCCTAAATACGAGCTGTATACGTGCCTCCAAACACAAATGATTTGGATCGGCAGCACGTTCGGTTATTTTCGTGACGTTGAAGGGGAAGTAGGGGAGCAAGCTATTTAAAAGCTGCCGGCTTAGCAACAACGAGCGATTGCCGGTTGCAGTGAGGAAGGTAGTAGTTGTATAAAGTGATTTAGACCTGTTAGTTAACAGAGAGCGAACTGCTCTTCAATCTTGTGATATTAATTTTTAAGTGCAAATAGAGAACATTACAAAAATCATGGAAGTTTTAAGTTTCGAGAATGTCGATTACAATAAAGGGAACGGTAAGTTTCTTATCGATGCCATTGTTCAATACGCTCCGGAGACTCGGATTTGATTTTTACGACTTCCTTCCTCTCAGTTTAGAAATCGGATGAAAGTATAATTGCATGTGACTGACTGAAAGTTGTTATCGTTGCGGGCCAAAACGAATGCTTACCCATAAAACTTTGGATGTTTTTTGAGTTTCGAAACTTTTTCCTGACCTTGACATTGCTAACTTGCTGATTTTGACTGACGATTGAGCTAATTCTCAGTATGTAGGATAAAAAGTTCCAATTAAGGGAATATTAATACCACTTCTTTGTCTCGTACCTACCCAGATAGTTAGGTAAATGTCGAAACGCTTTGTTAAATTGCTATAAAAAAGTTATTCCTATCTATCCACATCTCGACTTTCGTCAGTTAGTGGGCCGAGGAGATTTTGTTCAATGAGAGTTTTTTCTCATTTTTGTTGGCAAAATAATCGGGCGTACGAGTGGGCTATTGATACAATAAATTTAACTTGCAGGAAGTATATTTTATTTTTAACTTTGCGAATGCTATTAATTTTAATCAGCGCCGGAGCGTTTTGCTGAACGAGCATTTGGTAATTTATTCCGTTACTTGTTTGTCAAACCGTCGTCATCGCTTGTAGAGTATCTATCAAGGTCAGCAATACGAATCTTTAATTAGGTAATGTGCTTGTTGAGCGGAATCAATTGCCTTTTAACAAGAAATCGTGGTTCGGAGCGTTATACATATAGTATAATAGTTTCGTCATCCCAAAAACTCGTTTTGAATGAATATATTAACCGATTCCGGTTGTTGCAGTTTGGGTTTATGATTACGACTCCAGTTACGAGGAAGATTATGGGACTACTGCTGTTAATGCGCTGTCCCAAAGGCTGGAGCAGGAGCTTAGGGCCGCTAAACGATCTCATTTCTCATGTGGGGAGGTTCTGTTGCCCTGTGGCTTGCTCCAGACCATTTCTCAGGACATACTCTCGTTGGCAGACAAAGAGCCTTGCGGCCTGAGGGGTTGCACTCTCTACCTGAACTTCGAGGGCGAAGAAGATTGTCGGAGACTCAGCACGGTCCGATGCGATCCAACAACAGCATCGACCTTCGAGCTCTATCTCACCCTTAAACAGTCTTCTACCAAATGGAACTCCTTCTTGCCTCAGTTTCTCAAGTAAGTTTCATACTATCGATCTTTCGGAAATAGATTTATCTAGATCCCTTTTTGGGCAGGCGTGCTAGAGGTTTGTTTTTTTTTTGTTCTTTACAGAAAGATAACCAGAGGTGGGACTGTGGTCATCAGTTCAGAGTACGAGTTACAAAAGAAGAAGTTGTACCGTTCCTACATGGATACGGACTAAGTCTTTTCGAGATCTTAAACTAAAAGACTGAGCACAAATACAAATATACATATATATATAACATAGAGTATAAAAATACATATTAATATTTACAATTTATCAATATTATAACTACGTCGACATACAAATTCGAAGCTTTCATTAGTTTTTTACTGATCTATAACGTTAGGTGTAGTAAGGATTTAATGATAAGGATAAGGATCTAAAAAGCGATGCGTGATTACAATGTAGATTATAATAATTAACATTTAAATGTAAATCAGTATTTTTGGAACCTTGATTCATCAAGGTTCTCGATCTTATACTTTCGATGGATTTTATAAGTCCGTGATAATTTAGATATGTAGTTCGCTGTTACTTGTAAGAATTAATGTTGCTATCCACTTTTCTACTTACAATAATGTATCTCTCCTGTCGGAAACTCAGTATGAACCCATTTCCACTTCTTCCTTCGTACCTGTACTTAATCAATCGATCAACAACTTTCAATCAATTATAAATTGGTACCAGCAGAACAGGTCAGATCTTCAGTTCAATAATATTGCTCTTTTTCAATGTCTTTTTGCCAGTACCTACCTACTATAACTACAGTCGCCCTTGTTTGTTTTCTAATTGCTAATTATTTTTACTTCCACTTTGTGATATTAAATTGAAGGTCTGGTGTTAAACAAGACCGTTGTGATTTAAGTTGAATATGTAGTAATAAATGAAAAGATGTGCTGTCAGATTCATTGATGATTTTATGAATTATATTAAGAGGCTAAACTACTATATTGCATTGATTCAGATTTTATTTTACAGACTAAGAATTGTATAGGTATGTGTACTATTACAATATTGATTATATGATTATATTATGTATATTGTAGATGGAACATAGTGTGATAAAAGTACAGTTAGTTGTCGCTGTACTATTCTCTAAAAGTTTTTTTTTAAATGTACCTTTATAACAGTTTTTTATAATAAATAAAAAAGTGTACTAACAACGTCTTTTCATTGTCCAATCGGCTCAACTCTATTAATAAAACATTAAATACGTTAACTTTAAAAAAAAAATGGTGTTAAACATTTACAAGAAGCAGATAAGATAAAGAATACATGGGTAAGTATATTTATAAATTAATTTGTCAAAACAAACAACATATGTATACATAATACAACATCAAATTGATAAAGTAAAACGAGTTATTAAACATTTATAAATAATTGCAGTTGTTTAAATTGTTATGTGTGTACCGATGGTATTAGGACATCATAACACTTCACAGGTGTTGCACTATCTATACCGTACTTAGAAGGTGTCCTACCAACCTATCTCGCCAATTTTTTATTGACTTCCATAGAGTTCTCTGTTTTCCTATTCTTTCTAATACTTCTTCATTTCTAATCTTCTCTATCCACGATTAGTTTACTGTTCAGAAATTGTTAAGGATGTGGGATGTTCTAATTTTACGGAAACGCGAAGATTAGCTCAGGATAGGAAGCAAAAAAGAAAAAAAAACACCAATTACCGTGTGGGTTGAACGCCAACGCTACCGCAACGGCGACGCGCTGGAACAGGGATCCAGAAAATGCATTTGGTCTATCACATCCTAAACACATTAGCGTCTACTCTAAATTTTAGTAAATTTTGGCAGTTTTGCAGCAGCTACCTCGTAATTTACTAACTACCTATTTATTCCATTAGAATAATTCTGATTTATGCAATAGAGCTTGATATTTTCGTAAGGTGTTTAGCTACAACGATCAAGGACTGCCAAAAAAGTTTCCATTCTATTTTCGATGCAAATTTTTATCCCGATGCTTTCCTTTGGTTCGTGTAACTGTTGCAAACAATATCTGCCAGACGTTAACGGATGATGTGACACGTTGCAACGAAAGGAAGCGAAGTAAACATGCCACGAACTAGGCAAAATTTAAGTGGTTCTCAATCTTCTCGTTTGTTGTTCAAAATGTGCAGAAAAGACACACACTTGTCACCCTGCCGTTGAAAGATCGCTTATTGGTAGGTAAAGTGCAGCCAAGGAACACACAGGTCGTGGCTTTTTTTAATAGGAATTAACAACATAAATTAATTCACACATGTTGAATATAACAATCTGACAGTTATCAAATAATACCGAATGGAACTGTTCAAGGATTATTCCGACAGGTATTTTTATTTTGAGTTTCCAAAAAGATAAACGTTTCGAGAAGTGAAAAACAATTTAGCAAATAAACAATAAAACTCTTCCAGGGGAAAAATGGAACCTGTACGAGGCCATTTATGTGTCAGTCTGTCTGTCAGACCGTCACAGGTCGTTTTTCTCAACAGAAACCGTTTGACATAGTTTTTTTGGATTTAGGTAGGGATAATTAAAAACATATTTTCGTATTTTTTATGTGGGACATTCCCTGAGATTCCGCCGAAAATATATATCGGACTGTTAACATGTCATCTTTTGAAACTGTCCTCTAAAGAAAATTTTGAAAAATTGAAATTCAAAGCTATTATAAAAAATAATTAATTTTATCCTACGAGAAGATAGTAAAAAAACACACTCAAGGCTTCCATCATCTTAAAAACTAATACATAACGTATTTGGTGTAATTAAATGATTAAATCACTTGGGAATAAGACAAGGTCAATGTGATTATCTGTCTTTTAAATTTCGTTCGGTTTAGTTTGTTGCTATCATATTGAAACAATTAACTGAATATTAAAAAAACAATTGTTTTGAAATATATTAACGTTTCCTTGAACAGAAGAAGAATTCCTTAAATCATGTTTCGGATTATACGTAGACATAATACGTAATTATTATTAAAATAGTATGTACTTTAATTTCACAGAATTTCGTTGTCGGTCTGCCTATTCATTGTAATTACATTTTATTAAACCTGTTATTTTAAAGGTAGTGAAGTGCGAGCAGGGTTTGACACTGAATATAATATTACACTCCAAGTATGCTATTAAGTATTAGAAAAGTTTAGAAAACATACAATTTCTTCAAAATATTTCATTGAAAATAACTTCAAAAAAATTTGAAACAGTATTATTAGTGGAATATCACGAAACAGTAAATAATATGAAATATTCAAAAATATGGAAGAGACTAGAAGAAGAACAATAAGGGATGAGAATAAATTGGAGCGTTCGCAGGAAGGAGACATAAAACGAGAGGGTTTTGAGAAGAAAAATAGCTATCAGGAGAAAAAAAAGAAAGCAATAATGAGCAATTGACAGAATGGAAAAATAAGGGAAGGAATATAATAAAGAAAAGTTATTATGAGGTGTCAAGAGATGAGTTAAGAATACAAGGTCGAAATATGCGGAAGGGGTGAATGGGTGACAGTGGGAAAACTGCCAAGGAGATATAAGACCAAAGTATTTGAGGAGAAATAAGGATGTACTAGTTATAGAAAGATTTAGAATGGGGAATGAACGTAATGAGAATAAATTTTATATGCGGATGATGAGGATATCGTGGGTAGAAAAGGTTAGAAATGAAGAGGTATTAGAAAGAATAGGAGAACAGAGGACTCCATGGAAGGTAATAAGAAATAGGCGAGATAGGTTGGTAGGACACCTTCTTAGGCATGAAGGTCTAGTCAGAGACATATTAGAGGCAGAAACAGGAGTTAGGAGGGGTAGAGGTAGACCTAGATTAGATTACT